GAAACTTCCAGCTTATTGCCTTAAAGGGATAACTCTTTGTGAACAATAAAACCTATTTTGAGTTACCTACAGTGTTTTGGTCCTTGGGAGTTCCAGTTTTCCTAAAGGAGAGCAAGAAGCAATCCCCTGGGGAAAGATGCCACATCCATGCCTCCTTCACTAAGAGTTATTGAAGGCTATAGAATCATAGAATCAAAGAGTTGGAAGAGACCTCATGGGCCATCCAGTCCAACCCCATTCTGCCAAGAAGCAGGAATATTGCATTCAAATCACCCCTGACAGATGGCCATCCAGCCTCTGTTTAAAAGCTTCCAAAGAAGGAGCCTCCACCACACTCCGGGGCAGAGAGTTCCACTGCTGAACGGCTCTCACACTCAGGAAGTTCTTCCTCATGTTCAGGTGGAATCTCCTTTCTTGTAGTTTGAAGCCGTTGTTCCGCGTCCTAGTCTGCAAGGAAGCAGAAAACAAGCTTGCTCCCTCCTCCCTGTGGCTTCCTCTCACATATTTATACACGGCTATCATATCCCCTCTCAGCCTTCTCTTCTTCAGGCTAAACATGCCCAGCTCCTTAAGCCGCTCCTCATAGGGCTTGTTCTCCAGACCCTTTATCGCCCCCAGGTGCGACGGCACATATATCTTGTTCCTGTTCATGTGCTCCTGTTCAAGTTTTACTTGTTACACCTTCTGGATTGTGGACTTATGCCGTATCTGTGATTTCTGGCTGTTCCTGGACTTTGTCACCTCTGGAACTCTATGAGACATTTGGATTATTGGCTGGTTATCACCTGTTGCTAAACTTCTTTGGATTATCTATCTTCCTTTCTTATTCCTGATATTTTTAGATGCTTTTTATATGTTTTTACAAATAAAACTGTTGGTTAGGGTAGACTCCTCCATTGACTGGGATCACTCTCGCTCCACAGTCACCCAAGGCAGGGTTGCACTGACATTCATTAACTTGCGTTGTCAGTTCACGTTGGTTGCTGTGATTAATGCCTTTGTGAAGTGTTTTTCTGTAGTCCCGGCTTCAAGCGGCCTGTTGGAGTGTCCACTTCCAGGACCTCCTGGGTCATGGTCTCCTGATAGACGTTGAGAAGGACATGCTTTGATCTCCAGAGCAATGGCTCCTTGTCAGGAAGGATCAGGAGGCCCTGTTTTGAAGGCCTTGGCCAGCTGGTCCTGGACAAAGAAGGGGGGGGGGGGGCATTGGAAGACCAGTGCCCCTGGAAGGCCCCCATCGGATGTCATGCAGGAAATGGGACCAGAGTCCCTGATTGGATCGAAAAGGCAGAAAGCTTTCCTCCTTTCTTGGAGATATAGCCTGAGGGTTCCTTGCCCAGAATTCCGAATTCCGAAACACTACAAAATCCAAAATGCCCACAATCCGAAATCTGAAGAAAAAATAAATCCAGAATCAAAAACATTTTTGGTTCCTATACTCTTTCAAAACTAATTTTGCTTTTACGGGTAGAGATGTACGAGGGTTGAATGAAAAGTAATGCCTCCACCTTCGTAAATCCTCAACAGATGGCAGTACTGGTATGCGGCAGGTACTGGCTTGTTCAGTAAACTCTCCTCTACAGTTCCATTCTGGCAGGAAGCCTTAGCAGAAAAAGTAATGCCTCCACCTGCGTAACTCCTCAACAGATGGCAGTACTGGTATGCGGCAGGTACTGCCTTGTTCAGTAGACTCTCCTCTACAGTTCCATTCTGGCAGAAAAAGTAATGCCTCCACCTTCATAACTCCTCAACAGATGGCAGTACTGGGTTGTTGGTTTTTTGTGTTTGTTTTTTTTTTTTGTCATGTCAGGAGCGACTTGAGAAACTGCAAGTCGCTTCTCGTGTGAGAGAATTGGCCATCTGCAAGGACGTTGCCCAGGGTACGCCCAGATGATTTGATGTTTTTCTCATCTTTATGGGAGGCTTCTCTCATGTCCCCGCATGAAGAGCTGGAGCTGATAGAGGGAGCTCATCCTCCTCTCCCCGGATTCGAACCTGCGACCTGTCGGTCTTCAGTCCTGCCGGCACAGGGGTTTAACCCACTGCGCCACCGGGAGCTCCTGGCAGTACTGGTATGCGGCAGGTACTGGCTTGTTCAGTAGACTCTCCTCTACAGTTCCATTTTGGCGGGAAGCCGTAGCATTGAACGGTTGTGTTGTTAAAGTGAAAAGTAATGCCTCCACCTTTGTAACTCCTCAACAGATGGCAGTACTGGTATGCGGCAGGTACTGGCTTGTTCAGTAGACTCTCCTCTACAGTTCCATTGGAGGGAGCATTTGAATGAAAAGTAATGCCTCCACCTTTGTAACTCCTCAACAGATGGCAGTACTGGTATGCAGCAGGTACTGGCTTGTTCAGTAGACTCTCCTCTACAGTTCCATTTTGGCAGGAAGCCTTAGCATTGAACGGTTGTGTTGTTAAAGTGAAAAGTAATGCCTCCACCTTCATAACTCCTCAACAGATGGCAGAACTGGTATGCAGCAGGTACTGGCTTGTTCAGTAGACTCTCCTCTACAGTTCCATTTTGGCAGGACGCCTCAGCATGGAACGACTGTGTTGTTAAAGTGCGAAGTATGGAACCCTGTACAGATGGTCGGTCAATGCGACTTAAGCAACGTGCAGTCACTGAATTCTTGACAGCAGAAGGTGTCACCTCAACATCTTTAAACTTACTCGCCCAACGACGCACAGTACTCACATCAACACAATCCCCATAAACAGCTTGCACTCTCTGTTGAATCTCCTTTGGGGTGACACCTTCTGCTGTCAAGAATTAAATGACTGCACATTGCTTAAGTTGCATTGACCGACTGTCTGGGCAGGGTTCCATACTTTGCACTTTATCAACACAACCATTCAATGCTAAGGCTTCCCACCACTTCCCGCTCTGATAGCGAATGAGCTGATGCTCAATTTATAGTATCCTGTTTATGTTTTTGGATGCTCTGCTTTACTTTAGGGTAGTTTTCCCTAACGTATTATTGTAAATAAACCTTTTGTGATTTTTTAAAGATTGGACTCTGCATGTTTGCCTCCTAACCACATCGCACAGCACTTCAGGCTCTGATAGCTAATGAGCTGATGCTCAACTTATAGTATCCTGTTTATGTTTTTGGATGCGCTACCTTATTTTAGGATAGTTTCCCCTAACATATTATTGTAAATAAACCTTTTGTGCTTTTTTAAGGATTGGACTCTGCATGTTTGCCTCCTAACCACATTACACAGCACTTCACGCTCTGATAGCTAATGAGCTGATGCTCAACTTATAGTATCCTGTTTATGTTTTTGGATGCTCTGCTTTACTTTAGGCTAGTTTTCCCTAACATATTACTGTAAATAAACCTTTTGTGATTTTTTAAGATTGGACTCTGCATGTTTGCCTCCTAACCACTTCACATGGCACTTCATGCTCTGATAGCTAATGAACTGATGCTCAACTTATAGTATCCTGTTTATGTTTTTGGATGCTCTGCTTTATTTTAGGCTAGTTTTCCCTAACATACCTCACTATTGTTGCTTTTCTTTATTTCTCCTTTTTCCAATAAAAGTTTTAATTAAAAATAAGAAAATAAAATAATTTCAGCAATCTGTTTGTGTCCATCATACTCTATCCGTTCCCCACGGCCAAGCATTAATCCGCCGACCCGTCAAAGTTCCCATTGTAAAGTCAACAAACATCCGAACGGTCCATTTCACAAGAGGAGACACAATTATAGCAGACACTTGACACCTGCGGTGATGGGGGAAAGAACAACAACGGCTGGACCAGCCACCTAAAACATTCGTAAAGTCGGTCCCTTAATTACCTCCATAATTGGAGCCCCCCTTTTCTTGGGAAACAGAAAGAAGCAGAAAGGATTTCAACTCTGTCCGGGGTCCTGAGAACCAAACTCCCCGGCTCGTAATTAACTGCCGCACTGTGCTTTTGCTCCTTTTCGTGGGATCCGGTCGACGTTCCCAATCCCTTGTTGTCAAAGGCGGAAAGGAGGGGGTTTGTTTCAGAAGGCTCCAGACCTCCTGGCAGAATATCTGCTAATTAGGCCCAAGGTCTAATTCGATAAAAGAGGAAGGGCAGATATTGTTGTTTATTGAAACACAAATGCCACAAAGAGCCCTCTCGCTTGCTTCCGTCGTTCCCCTTCGTGCCGAGCAATTATTGTTTCTCCGTCGCACAACTTTTGGGCCCTCTTGCTCTGCCTGAGAATTCACTCACCATGTTACAAAATGAGCAGATATTTTGTTTATTTATTTACTTATTTATTTGCAGAATTTATATTCTGCCCTTCTCACCCCGAAGGGGAATCAGGGTGGATCACAGAACACATAAACAGTAAACATTCAATGCCGTTAAACAGACAACAGATAGAGGTATTATGTCGGCAACGTTCCCCCAACTTCGGCGTCCTGGAGGTTGTGCTTGATTCCGGCCACAAGAGTTCTTTCTCCCACCCTGGACATTATTTCACAGGGGAATTCCAGACAAGAATTAATCAGGGCCAGCTAACCCCTCCAGTCAAAGGATTTCCCCCCCCCCCCGGCAGCAACCCACCAGGCTTTGAAGCTGCAAGGCTATTGAGTGCCAATCAAGGTGGCCAATTGCAACATTCACACTTGCCTCAAACAGACAAGAGTTCCTTTCTCCCACCCTGGACAATATTCCACAGATATACAAACCCCACTTGTCTAGTTACCAACAGACAACACAACCTCTGAGGACGCCTGCCATAGATGTGGGAGAAATGTCAGGAGAGAATGCTTCTGGGAAAACGGCCAGACAGCCCGGAAAACTCACAGCAACACAAAGTCCAAGAAAGGAGCATAACCACACTGGCCAGGTAATAAACAAAAAGTAACTATTTCAAACTCCGAGACAGCACTTGCTGGAGGGTGCCAATCTGCACACAACCGAAATCCCGAAGTAGCTGAAAAGCATGTGATTTTTCAACGGAGTGCTAGACTGATCCCAAAGGCCTGTTAAAGGAGTAGATCCGCCTTACCATCTTCATGCCCTTCGCGGTTCCTTCGCCGGTGCCTCTCCCGCCTGTGGCTGACCACCGACTCCGTCCCAGTTTCGTTGTCCAGCCCATCTCGACTACTTGCAGCATTCGGGCTGCAAAGAAAATAGATGGCAAGAAGGGATGGTTAGCATTTCAAGCACACCTGGATTGCACAAAGCCAAGTGAGTAGACCGAAGTCTGTAAGAGTCAGGGGGCTAAAGCTTTTGTTGTCCTGAAGAGAGTGAGTAGACCAAAGCACGTTAGAGTCAGTGGGCTAAAACTAGTGTTGTCCTGAGGAGAGTAAGTACGCCAAAGACTGTTAGAGTCAGTGGGCTAAAGATTGTGTCGTCCTGATGAGAGTGAGTAGGCCAAAGATTGTTAAGAGTCAGTGGGCCAAAGCTTGTATCGTCCTGAGGAGAGTGAGTAGGTCAAAGTCTGTTAGAATCAGTGGGGCAAAGCGAGTGTCGTCCTGAGGAGAGTGAGTAGGCCGAAGCCTGTTAAGAGTCAGTGGGCTAAAACTACTGTCATCCTGAGGAGAGTGAGTAGACCGAAGCCTGTAAGAGTCAGCGGGCCAAAGCTAGTGTCATCCTGAGGAGAATGAGTAGGTCAAAGTCTGTTAGAGTCAGTGGGGCAAAGCTAGTTTCGTACTGAGGAGAGTGAGTAGGTCAAACTCTGTTAGAGTCAATGGCCCAAAGCTAGTGTCATCCTGAGGAGAGTGAATAGACCGAAGCCTGTTAGAGTCAGTGGGCCAAAGCTAGTATCATCTTGAGGAGATTGAGTAGACCGAAGCCTGTAAGAGTCAGTGGGCCAAAGCTAGTGTCGTCCTGAGGAGAGTGAGTAAGCCGAAGCCTGTTAGAGTCAGTGGGCCAAAGCTAGTGTCGTCCTGAGGAGAGTGAGTAGGCCAAAGACTAATAAAGTCAATGGGGCAAAGCTAGTGTTGTCCTGAGGAGAGTGAGTAGGCCAAAGCCTGTTAGAGTCTAAAGATTGTGTTGTCCTGAGGAGAGTGAGTAGGCCGAAGTCTGATAGTCAGTGGGGAAACTTGTGTCATCCTGAGGAGAGTGAGTAGACCGAAGCCTGTAAGAGTCAGTGGGCTAAAGCTAGTGTGGTCCTGCGGAGAGTGAGTAGGTCAAAGTCTGTTAGAGTCAGTGGGGCAAAGCTAGGGTCGTCCTGAGGAGAGTGAGTAGGCTGAAGACTGTTAGAGTCAGTGGGGCAAAGCTAGTGTCATTCTGAGGAGAGTGAGTAGGCCGAAGCCTGTTCGAGTCTGTGGGCCAAAGCTAGTGTCGTCCACAGTTGACAGTTGACCTATCAGGTAAGCCACCTAGCGGCCAAATTGTGTAATTTGTTATGTAATCGTCGTTCAAGTATGTTTATGTTTATGTGTGTATAAGTATAGTTGTTTTCTTTATTGGTGGTTTATTTCCCCCTGAATTGAAACAATGAGGAAAACGGAAGCAAACCTGCCAAGGAAACATCAACAACAACAACACAACAAAGGGGATACGGAAAGTTTCTTGCTGCGCCCAAGAGACAAAGGAGGAGGGAGCCTCGCTGACAACACACACCACACTTCCGCAATGGCATGGCCGCAAGAGGGCAGCAGAACCTTAGCAAGGAATTGTAGGAACATAGAAACATAGAAACATCCACGCCACCTTCCCTGCCAAGCAGGAAAACACATTCAAAGCCTTCCCGGTTGATGGCCATCCAGCTTCAGCTTGAAAACCTCCAGAGAAGGTGACTCCACCATGTCGGGTGAGTGGGCTTATTAATGAAAGAACTTCTCCATAAATGCACAGCTGAGTAACTTGTTAGCAGCAGCATGACCCAGCACCAGTAGCCCAAAGTGATGCAAAAGACACAGACCAATATTATCTCTTCCCTCTGAGGCTTTCCTCTGAAGTAAAATAATTTGATTGCACGATTTACAAGAACTAGGTTTCCATAACACAAATAAACAAACACACAGTAGATTTACACGCAGCAGCATTCACACTGGAGCTTTCTCACATGAGGCTTCGCTCATCAGGCCTTCTCATATCAGACCTTCCTTATACCGAAACCTCTCTCACACTGAGGCTTTTACATTCTCCTCAGGACGACACTAGCTTTGCCCACTGACTCTAACGGGCTTTGACCTACTCACTCTCCTCAGGACGACCCTAGCTTTGGCCCACTAACTCTAACAGGCTTCGGTCTACTCCCTCTCCTAAGGACGACACTAGCTTTGGCCCAATGACTCTTAACAGGCTTTGGCCTACTCCCTCTCCTCAGGACGACACTAGCTTTGGCCCAGTGACTCTTAACAGGCTTCGACCTACTCATTCTCCTCAGGACAACACTAGCTTTGGCCCACTGACTTTAACAGGCTTTGGCCTACTCACTCTCCTCAGGACGACACTAGCTTTGGCCCACTGACTAACAAGCTTCGGTCTACTCACTCTCCTAAGGACGACACTAGCTTTGGCCCACTGACTAACAAGCTTCGGTCTACTCACTCTCCTAAGGATGACACTAGCTTTGGCCCAATGACTCTTAACAGGCTTCGGTCTACTCCCTCTCCTCAGGGCGACACTAGCTTTGGCCCACTGACTCTAACAGGCTTTGGTCTACTCACTCTCCTCAGGATGGCACAAACTTTGGAACACTGACTCTAACAGGCTTCGGCCTACTCTCTCTCCTCAGGACGACACTAGCTTTGGCCCACTGATTCTTACAGGCTTCGGCCTACTCACTCTCCTCAGGACAAAACTAGCTTTGGCCCACTGACTCTAACAGACTTCAGTCTACTCACTCTCCTAAGGACGACACTAGCTTTGGCCCACTGACTCTAACAGGCTTCGACCTACTCACTCTCCTCAGGATGACACTAGCTTTGGAACACTGACTCTAACAGGCTTCGGCCTACTCCCTCTCTTAAGGACGACACTAGCTTTGGCCCAATGACTCTTAACAGGCTTCGGTCTACTCCCTCTCCTCAGGGCGACACTAGCTTTGGCCCACTGACTCTAACAGGCTTTGGTCTACTCACTCTCCTCAGGATGGCACAAACTTTGGAACACTGACTCTAACAGGCTTCGGCCTACTCTCTCTCCTCAGGACGACACTAGCTTTGGCCCACTGATTCTTACAGGCTTCGGCCTACTCACTCTCCTCAGGACAAAACTAGCTTTGGCCCACTGACTCTAACAGACTTCAGTCTACTCACTCTCCTAAGGACGACACTAGCTTTGGCCCACTGACTCTAACAGGCTTCGACCTACTCACTCTCCTCAGGATGACACTAGCTTTGGAACACTGACTCTAACAGGCTTCGGCCTACTCCCTCTCTTAAGAACGACACTAGCTTTGGCCCAATGACTCTTAACAGGCTTCAACCTACTCATTCTCCTAAGGACGACACTAGCTTTGGCCCACTGATTCTTACAGGCTTCGGCCTACTCACTCTCCTCAGGACAAAACTAGCTTTGGCCCACTGACTCTAACAGACTTCAGTCTACTCACTCTCCTAAGGACGACACTAGCTTTGGCCCACTGATTCTAACAGGCTTCGACCTACTCACTCTCCTCAGGATGACACTAGCTTTGGAACACTGACTCTTAACAAGCTTTGATCTACTCACTCTCCTAAGTACAAAACTAGCTTTGGCCCACTGACTCTAACAGGTTTCAGCATACTCCCTCTCCTAAGGACGACACTAGCTTTGGCCCAATTACTCTTAACAGGCTTTGGCCTACTCATTCTCCTCAGGACCACACTAGCTTTGGCCCACTGACTCTAACAGGCTTTGGCCTACTCACTCTCCTCAGGACGACACTAGCTTTGGCCCACTGACTAACAAGCTTCGGTCTACTCACTCTCCTAAGGACGACACTAGCTTTGGCCCACTGACTAACAAGCTTCGGTCTACTCACTCTCCTAAGGATGACACTAGCTTTGGCCCAATGACTCTTAACAGGCTTCGGTCTACTCCCTCTCCTCAAGGCGACACTAGCTTTGGCCCACTGACTCTAACAGGCTTTGGTCTACTCACTCTCCTCAGGATGGCACAAAATTTGGAACACTGACTCTAACAGGCTTCGGCCTACTCTCTCTCCTCAGGACGACACTAGCTTTGGCCCACTGATTCTTACAGGCTTCGGCCTACTCACTCTCCTCAGGACAAAACTAGCTTTGGCCCACTGACTCTAACAGACTTCAGTCTACTCACTCTCCTAAGGACGACACTAGCTTTGGCCCACTGACTCTAACAGGCTTCGACCTACTCACTCTCCTCAGGATGACACTAGCTTTGGAACACTGACTCTTAACAAGCTTTGATCTACTCACTCTCCTTAGTACAAAACTAGCTTTGGCCCACTGACTCTAACAGGTTTCAGCATACTCCCTCTCCTAAGGACGACACTAGCTTTGGCCCAATGACTCTTAACAGGCTTCGACCTACTCACTCTCTTCAAAGCGACACTAGCTTTGGAACACTGACTCTAACAGGCTTCGACCTACTCACTCTCCTCAGGATGACACTAGCTTTGGCCCACTGACTCTTAACAAGCTTTGACCTACTCACTCTCCTCAGGACGACACAACTTTGGAACACTGACTCCAACAGGCTTTGGCCTACTCCCTCTTCTCAGGACGACACTAGCTTTGGCCCACTGACTCTAACAGGCTTCTGCCTACTCCCTCTCCTAAGGACGACACTAGATTGACCCACTAACTAGAGAAGTTTCCCCAAATCCCTTTCACATAGACTCTTTGCACACTAGGTGTCACCTCTATGTGTACTTCACTTCTTTTCTGCCTAAGCGTAACAACGTACATATCTCCCTGTTAAAAATAATTTACTTTTAGTTGCAGCCCAACCCTCTGATCTGTTAAAATCGTTTCGGATTCTAATCCAAATGGGGAAAGGCATTCCACGGCATAGTAGGCGGTGGGAGAGGCACGGTCCAAGCACAGGGGCGGTGGGAGAGGCACTAACCCTGAATTTTTCAGAGAGGATCAAGAGCTCCTTAGAGCATAAAAGAATGCTTTGGACTATAGATTGGAAATAGCCTTACTGGAAGGAGGGCGGCCGGGAGTCTCCGATGCCTCCGGTTCTTTCAAGGGGAGGAGGAAGGTCGGGGTGGCTTTCAGTGCATTGAGAACCGGCGTCCGAATGAGCGCTTTCGGCCAGGACCAGCTGAAAGAGTCAAAATCAGGAAGGGAGTTAGAGATTGAAGGTGAACTATACATCCCAGCAACTACAACTCCCAAATGTCAAGATTCTATTTTTCAACAAACTCCACCAGTATTCACATTTGGGCATATTGAGTATCTGTGCCAAGTTTGGTCCAGATCCATCACTGTTTGAGTCCACAGTGCTCTCTGGATGTGGTGAACTATAACTCCAAAACTCAAGGGCAATGCCCACCAAACCCTTCCAGTATTTTCTGTTGGTCATGGGAGTTCTGTGCCAAGATTGCTTCAATTCTATTGTTGCTGGGGTTCAGAATGGTCTTTGATTGTAGGTGAACTATAAATCCCAGCAACTACAACTCCCAAACGTCAAGGTCTATTTTTCCCAACTCCACCAGTATTCACATTTGGGCTTACTGAATATCTGTGCCAGGTTTGGTCCAGATCTATCATTGTTTGAGCCCACAGCACTCTCTGGATGTAGGCGAACTATAACTCCAAAACTCAAGATCAATGCCTACCAAAGTCTTCCAATGGCCAACATAGAACCCCATGTCTTGAAGGGATTCACTTGGTGAGCTTCCCTCCATCCTCGCACGCTCTTCCTCGCAGACACAAGCGTACTACGCTGCCATGCTTCGAGTACGCCTGCTCTCCCCTCCCCACTTGGAGTCTCAGAAACAGCCCTCCCCTTGGCTGAGAGGCCGACCAATCCCAGTGGAGGAGGGCTTTTGGTGGGAGGATTTGCAGTCTCTTTCCAAAAAGGATGAGAACAACAAGCGGAGAGATCTCCTTCCAGCCTCGCACGCTCTCCCTCGCCGGCACATGCGCATCACATTGCCATGCGCCAAGCACGCCTGCTCTCCCCTCCCTGCCTGGAGTCTCAGAAACAGTCCTAAGACAATAGGTAAAGGATTTCCCCAGACATTAAGGGCCTCAGTGTGTTTGTAGGCTTCAGTGTTAGTTCGCCTCAGTGGGAGAAAGGCCTCAGTCTGGGAGCAATGGGTTTTCCCCTGACATTCATAAATACTGTACAATCACTGAAGTTTTCCCCCATCTTCATTGTAGGAAAAAAATAGGTAAAAGATTCCCCCTGACATTAAGGGCCTCAGTGTGTTTGTAGGCTTCAGTGTTAGTTCGCCTCAGTGGGTGAAAGGCCTCAGTCTGGTAGCAATAGGTTTTCCCCTGACATTCATAAATACTGTACAATCACTGAAGTTTTCTCCCACCTTTGTTGTAGGAAAACAATAGGTAAAGGATTCCCCCTGACATTAAGGGCCTCAGTATGTTTGTAGGCTTCAGTGTTAGTTCGTCTCAGTGGGAGAAAGGTCTCAGTCTGGGAGCAATAGGTTTTCCCCTGACATTCATAAATACTGTACAATCACTGAAGTTTCCCCCCATCTTCCTTGTAGGAAAACGATAGGCAAAGGATTTCCTTAGACAGTGTGTTTGTAGGCTTCAGTGTTAGTTCGCCTCAGTGGGAGAAAGGCCTCAGTCTGGGAGCAATAGGTTTTCCCCTGACATTCATAAATACTGTACAATCACTGAAGTTTTCCCCCATCTTCGTTGTAGGAAAACGATAGGTAAAGGATTTCCGCAGACATTAAGGGCCTCAGTCTGTTTGTAGGCTTCAGTGTTAGTTTGCCTCAGTGGGAGAAAGGCCTCAGTCTGGGAGCAATAGGTTTTCCCCTGACATTCATAAATACTGTACAATCACTGAAGTTTTCTCCCACCTTTGTTGTAGGAAAACAATAGGTAAAGGATTTCCCCTGACATTAAGGGCCTCAGTATGTTTGTAGGCTTCAGTGTTAGTTCGTCTCAGTGGGAGAAAGGTCTCAGTCTGGGAGCAATAGGTTTTCCCCTGACATTCATAAATACTGTACAATCACTGAAGTTTCCCCCCATCTTCCTTGTAGGAAAACGATAGGCAAAGGATTTCCTTAGACAGTGTGTTTGTAGGCTTCAGTGTTAGTTCGCCTCAGTGGGAGAAAGGCCTCAGTCTGGGAGCAATAGGTTTTCCCCTGACATTCATAAATACTGTACAATCACTGAAGTTTCCCCCCATCTTCCTTGTAGGAAAACGATAGGTAAAGGATTTCCCCAGACATTAAGGGCCTCAGTCTGTTTGTAGGTTTCAGTGTTAGTTTGCCTCAGTGGGAGAAAGGCCTCAGTCTGGGAGCAATAGGTTTTCCCCTGACATTCATAAATACCCTACAATCACTGAAGTTTTCCCCCATCTTCGTTGTAGGAAAACGATAGGTAAAGGATTTCCCCTGATATTAAGGGCCTCAGTGTGTTTGTAGGCTTCAGTGTTAGTTCGCCTCAGTGGGAGAAAGGCCTCAGTCTGGGAGCAATAGGTTTTCCCCTGATATTCATAAATACTGTACAATCACTGAAGTTTTCCCCCATCTTCGTTGTAGGAAAACGATAGGTAAAGGATTTCCCCTGACATTAAGGGCCTCAGTGTGTTTGTAGGCTTCAGTGTTAGTTCGCCTCAGTGGGAGAAACGCCTCAGTCTGGGAGCAATAGGTTTTCCCTTGACATTAAGTCCAGTCATGCCCGACTCTGGAGGTTGGTGCTCATCTCCATTCCTAAGCTGAAGAGCCGGCGTTGTCCGTAGACACCTCCAAGGTCATCTGGCCAGCATGACTGCATGGGACGGCATTACCTTACCGCCGGAGCAGTACCTATTGATCTACTCACATTTGCATGTTTTCGAACAGCTAGGTTGGCTGAAGCTGGGGCATTTCTGCATTTAGTAAACATTACTTTTAGAAAGGCTCGTTCAGACAGTGCAGAAATGGCGGTTGTGAACGTTCTAGAGTCGAACCTATTCTGGTTCAGGCCAATCTGAGCCTTTGTCTTTTGTCAATTCCACAATGCAGCCAGTTCCATACACATCCTAATAATAATAAGCTTTCCACAATGGCTCTGCCCAGTCGGCGGTGGATTACGGAGCCAACGTATCTCCGCATGGTGCCTCTCAACCCGGGACAGGGTTGAATAGGGATTGTGGAGATAGGGGAAGCCCTGGAAGGCAGGAAAAGTGTACATGTGCGACCGCACAAAAGGAAAATCGGTAGGTATTTTTTCTTCTTCCCCACCCCGATATACTGCGGTTGGAGAAAAGAAGCATGACATCACCGCGAGCCAATCGGGAAACCGCGCCAGTCCCAAATGGCAAATGGGATTTTAAAATAAGTAAATAAATAAATAAGGGAAAAGGCAGTTGTGTTAATGGCAATCTCCGCAAAGGGCGGAGGGGAGAGGAGTTGCCGACAATGGCCAACCCACTGTGCGCAAACGGTCAGCGGTCAGTATTTTGTTTGGCAGCTGAGGTTGGACTGTCAAGAGTAAAATGAGGGGGTCTTAACACAGCCTACTAAGCATCTATTGTGATTTTGCACATACACAAAACACCACTCCTTGCAAAGGAAAGGGCGCCAAATAGCTGGGCTTGGTCCCGATCCCATAAGGCCAACCTTACAGGAAAAAGGAATGCAAAGGAAGGGTGAGCCAGCAGCCAAATGGAAGCGGGGCCAAAAATATCAAGAAATATCAAGAGTGGGCAAATGGGTCCACTGCTCCCTCCAATGGGATCCAGGGATGTGTAGTCTTTCAAATCCTCCGCTTAAGTACAACCAACTACAATCCCCAAAAACATTATGAATGAACACATAAGAACAGAAGTTGCTACAGATCATGGCCTAAAAGGTCATCTACTCAAAACTACCGTTCAACATAGTTGCCATCAATTTGGACAAATTTGCACCATTGTTGAACCCAGGCATCAAAACTATTTTGGAAAAATTCAGGATTGCATTAGCTGTACACGCAGCAGCCTTTACACTGGAGCTTTCTCACACGAGGCTTCTCTCACACTGAGGTTTAGGGAAAATATGCACCATTGTTGATCCCGGGCATCAAAACTATTTTGGAAAAATTCAGGATTGCACTAGCTGTACACGTAGCAGCCTTTACACTGGAGCTTTCTCACATGGGGCTTCACTCACACTGAGGTTTAGGAAAACTTTTCACCATTGTTGAACCCGGGCATCAAAACTATTTTGGAAAAATTCAGGATTGCACTAACTGTACATGAAGCAGCCTTTACACTGGAGCTTTCTCACATGGGGCTTCACTCACACTGAGGTTTAGGAAAACTTTTCACCATTGTTGAACCCGGGCATCAAAACTATTTTGGAAAAATTCAGGATTGCACTAGCTGTACATGCAGCAGCCTTTACACTGGAGCTTTCTCACACGAGGCTTCTCTCACACTGAGGTTTAGGGAAAATATGCACCATTGTTGATCCCGGGCATCAAAACTATTTTGGAAAAATTCAGGATTGCACTAGCTGTACATGCAGCAGCCTTTACACTGGAGCTTTCTCACATGAGGCTTCTCTCACACTGAGGTTTAGAAAAAAATGCACCATTGTTGATCCCGGGCATCAAAACTATTTTGGAAAAATTCAGGATTGCACTAGCTGTACACACAGCAGCCTTTACAGTGGAGCATTCTCACACGAGGCTTCTCTCACACTGAGGTTTAGGAAAAAATTGCACCATTGTTGAACCCGGGCATCAAAACTATTTTGGAAAAATTCAGGATTGCACTAGCAGGAGGATAAATACAGACACAGAGAGAGTCTAAACAGCCGTAAATCCACCTTCACTTGGCTTAAGTCCTCTTAAGTGAGTCATTTCCAAGCACCATCCAAATGACCTAAACCAAAGACTGAACCCAAGCAATGCTTTCTGGGCACTTTTGGCGATACGCCGCCCGAACAAAAAGATTAGATCCAACATACCCAGGACACGACACGTCCGTTGAAGCACGGCAGCCTTGCATTGTCATCGGAGATCTCTTCCTTCACCACCCTGCGGAGAAAGAAGAAGGGAGAAACATCAGGAGTGGGAGACAGATGGAGCATCCCTCCTCCAAAACACCCCAAAACTGTCCACCTGAAATAGTGACAACTTTGCTTTCGGACAGTCCAAGAAAGACAGTGCAAAAATTTATGGCGCTCCACAAAACACTTTCCACAACAGTTGTAAAAACGACTTATATTTACAAGATCTTTCTTGAAAATACAACGCTTGTAACACTTTGGTTGTCGTACTCCAGAGCAGGAACGCCTCTGAATTTAAACACCACACCAGCTGGGTAAAATCAGCAAGCAGTTTATTTATGTAGCCAAAGAAGTAAAAAAAAAAACAATCCACAATAAAAGTAATCCAATTTAGTTCATCAGATACAAAAGGAACAAAGAGTCCAAGGAAATCCATGAAACTAGGCACTTGAATCCATGATTAAGATCCTCCGGGGAGGCCCTGCTTTCCGTCCCGCCATTGTTGCAGGCACGATTGGTGGGGACGAGAGACAGGGCCTTCTCGGTGGTTGCTCCCCGGCTATGGAACTCCCTTCCTGGTGAGATCAGGTCGGCCCCCTCTCTCCTGTCCTTTAGAAGGAAGGTCAAAACTTGGTGGTGGGACCAAGCTTTCAGGACAGGACAATAAAGCAGCAATAGGAAAGATTACCAGACCAATTAGATTTGACGTGGATTACTAGGACAATTTTAAATGGTGTATTTTAATATTTTGATAAATGCTTTTAATGTTTACTAGCCGTCCCATGCCACGCGTTGCCGTGGCCCACATGGGGGTTCTGTGTGGGAGGTCTGGCCCAATTCTATCGTCGGTGGGGTTCAGAATGCTCTTTGATTGTAGGTGAACTATAAATCCCAGCAACTACAACTCCCAAATGACAAAATCAATTTTTTTGAGTGAAGGACATACGTTGGGTTTTTAGGTGTCTTGTGTCCAAATTTGGTGTCAATTGATCCAGTGGTTTTTGAGTTCTGTTAATCCCACAAACGAACATTACATTTTTATTTATGTAGATGTATGTATATAAGAATTTGTGTCCCGGCATTGAATGTTTGCCGTATATATGCTGAGCTCCGGCCTGAGTCCCCTTAGGGGTGAGATGGGCGGAATATAAATGTTTTAAATAAATGAACGAACAATACAGAACTATATCCCATAGACAAAACATGAGCTAGGCAGAACTTGGTGCATGAAACTTGGCATTATCCTGACGTTGCCTCAACTGAAGCAATTGTCTCTCACAAATCATTATAACAGACTAATAAACAACACTGGAAGAGCCACTGACTGCCTCCCCGGGGGATCTGTCTAAAGAGCATTAATTCCATAGTGTAGATGCACCCTAAGATCATTTTGAAGAGTCACGCCAGAGAACTAGGCAGAACTTGGTGCATGAAACTTGGCATTATCCTGACGTTGCCTCAACTGAAGCAAYTGTCTCTCACAAATCATKATAACAGGCTAATAAACAACACTGGAAGAAYSAMTGGCTGCCTCCCCGGGGGATTTGTGTACAGTTGGTTCTAAAGTGCATTAATTCCACAGTGTAGATGCACCCTATTCAAATTCTAACACCCAGAATTCCATATCWCTGGGGCATTCAGGGTGGTCTAGTCTGAAAARGGTATTTGTTTTCCCCAAGCTGTACTCYTAGCCACTTTGCTTTGGCGTTGCAAAGGRATTTTGCCTTGTCACCCRAAGCGGACAGACCAAAGATCATTTTGAAGMGTCAYGCCAGAGAGCTAGGCAGAACTTGGTGCATGAAACTTGGCATTATCCTGACGTTGCCTCAACTGAAGCAACTGTCTCTCACAAATCATTATAACAGGCTAATAAACAACACTGGAAGAACCACTGGCTGCCTCCCCGGGGGATTTGTGTACAGTTGGTTCTGAAATGCATTAATTCCACAGTGTAGATGCACCCTATTCAAATTCTAACACCCAGAATGCCATATCACTGGGGAATTCAGGGTGGTCAAGTCTGAAAAAGTTATTTGTTGTCCCCAAGCTGTACTCTTAGCCACTTTGCTTTGGCGTTGCAAAGGGATTTTGCCTTGTCACCCAAAGCGGACAGACCAAAGATCATTTTGAAGAGTCATGCCAGAGAGCTAGGCAGAACTTGGTGCATGAAACTTGGCATTATCCTGACATTGTCTCAACTGAAGCAATTGTCTCTCACAAATCATGATAAGAGGCTAATAAACAACACCGGAAGAACCACTGGCTGCCTCCCTGGGGGATTTGTGTACAGTTGGTCTAAAGTGCATTAATTCCATAGTGTAGATGCACCCTATTCAAATTCTAACACCCAGAATTCCATATCACTGGGGAATTCAGGGTGGTCAAGTCTGAAAAGGGTATTTGTTTTCCCCAAGCTGTACTCTTAGCCACTTTGCTTTGGCGTTGCAAAGGGATTTTGCCCTGTCACCTGAAGCAGACAGACCAAAGATCATTTTGAAGCGTCATGCCAGAGAGGCTGAATGCCCAACATGTTTCAGTGCATAGACGAGCTGGTGATTCGCCCGGACACAACGGAGTTGGGAATGTTGTGAAAGCTTGCGTCAGCAATAGTTTGCATTCAGCCGAGCGCAAGCGGTGGTGGGTGGGTCGCTTCCCAGCAAATGAGCAACACGCTCACCTTGTTCTGCAGGGCTGTTCGGTCCGGAGCCAATGCCATTCGCCCTCAGAGCGGGAACTCAAGATACCTTTGATGCCTGCCAACCTTGGGCACCAACCGGTGTGCCTCATGCGCACATCATGCCATGGAATGCCCTCATGGAACGGAGCGCTTAGAGGAGCTCAACTTCCTCGACACAAGCATTCCAGACCCTGCGTTGGTGGGCAAGGCAATTCAAGAAGGATTTGGGCAAGACGGAAAGGTGACATGAAATATTCGATGATATCTTGGAACACACACTGTCATAGCTAATATACACAGAGGCCATAATGCAGTGAGCACCTGACCTTCAGCCCAGCTTACTGTCCACCTAAGCCAGAATTTCTCAAGCTGGTGAGATCAGGAGTGCTCTCTGGATGTAGGTGAACTACAACTCCAAAATTCAAGATCAATGCCCATCAAACCCTTCCAGTATTTTCTGTTGGTCATGGGAGTTCAGTGTGCCAACTTTGGTTCAATTCTATTGTTCGTGGAGTTCAGAATGCTCTTTGATGGCAGGTGAACTATAAATCCCAGCAACGACAAATCCCAAATGACAAAATCAACTCCCCCCAATATTGAAATGTGGGCGTATTGTGTATTTGTGCCAAATTTCGTCCAGTGAATGAAAATTCATCCTGCATATCAGATATTTACATTATGATTCATGACAGCAGCAAAATTACGGTTATGAAGTAGCAACGAAAATAATATTATGGGTGGGGATCACCACAAGATGAGGAAGTGTATTAAGGGGTCGCGGCATTAGGAAGGTTGGGAAACATTGCCATAGTGGCTTTGCAAGGGCATCTGTTCTAGTTTTGTTTCTGAAGTTAGAATGAAGACACTTATCTCTGCTCACCAACCCCGCTCTCATCCTTTTGGTGAGTTGGAGGAACGTCCTTCGTGGCTTGCCAAGCCAACCAACGCTGGCTCTGTGACGTGCCTTGACAAGCACCGAAAACACGGGAGAGCCAGTTCGGCTTTCAAGTGGGTGAGAGGCAAACAGAAAACGCTGGCAGGGCTACGTAAACAAAGCCAGGAAGCCGTGGATGTGTGTGTTTCATTTTGTTCAAAGGGAACCTTGAGCTCCCAGTATTATTTACTTACTTATTTATTTGTTTACAGCATTTATATTCCGCCCTCCTCACCCCAAAGGGGACTCACGGCGGATCACGGAACGCATATATATATTTCTGCAGAATCCCTTGTTGTCGTCCTTCTCCCTTTCTCCTTTTCTCATTCCTTGTTTTCCTTTTTAAAGTGGTAGTCAAGCAGAAATTGACACTGAGGCTAACTAACACTGAGGCCTTCTCATACTAAGGCCTACTAACACACTGAGGCCCTTCTCCCACAGAGATTTCTCACAGATTGAGGGCTACTAAGCTATCAACCAATTGCAACATTCACACTTGCCTCCAACAGACAGCGCTCTCTTAGACTGAGGACATCCTCACACTGAGGCTAACTAACACTGAGGCCTTCTTATACTGAGGCCTACTAACACACTGAGGCTCTTCTCCCACAGAGATTTCTCACAGATTGAGGGCTACTAAGCTATCAGCCAATTGCAACATTCACACTTGCCTCCAACAGACAGGGCTCTCTTAGACTGAGGACTCCCGCACACTGAGGCAAGCTAACACTGAGGCCTTCTCATACTGAGGCCTACTAACACACTGAGGCTCTTCTCCCACAGAGATTTCTCACAGATTGAGGGCTACTAAGCTATCAATCAATTGCAACATTCACACTTGCCTCCAACAGACAGCGCTCTCTTAGACTGAGGACTCCATCTTGCTGAGGCTAACTAATACTGAGACCTTCTCATACTGAGGCCTACTAACACACTGAGGCCCTTCTCCCACAGAGATTCCAAAGAGCATTTTGAACACCACCAACGATGGAATTGAACCAAACTTGGCACACAGAGCTCCCATGACCAACAGAAAATACTGGAAGGGTTTGGTGGGCAGTGTCCTTTGGTTTTGGAGTTGTAGTTCACCTACATCCAGAGAGCACTGTGGACTCAAAGAACGATGGATCTGGATCGAACTTGGCATGAATACTCAAGATACCCAAATGTGAACACTGGTGGAGATTGGGGAAAATAGAATCTTGACATTTGGGAGTTGTAGTTGCTGGGATTTGTAGTTCACCTACAATCACGGAGCATTCTGAACCCCACCGACGATAGAATTGGGCCAAACACAGAACCCCCATGACCACCAGAGTGGGCCACAGCAATGTGTGGCAGGGGACAGCTAGTACTGATATAAAGTAAAGTAAGTAAGTAAATTGTACTATGCTAATAATATATTGTATGCATATAT